ATGACAATGGAGGAGGGGCACTAGAGAGCCGGGCCACGGAGACGGAACCAGCCTCCACCCCGGGTCTGGGCACAGCACCCTGAGGGAGATGCTGTCCCCTGCAGCTCCCCCAGGCGACGGCGCTGGTTTGGCATTTTGGCAGTTGGCTCCCTTTGGGAATGGGCTCCAGCGTCTCCTTCTTTACTGAGGACTTGGGGTTCCTCATTCACTCATTCAAACCCCATCGGTTCTGAAGTACAGAGCACTACACGGGGCCGGGGATACGACTGTCAGCAAAGCGGACCTGGTTCCTGCCCTCTGGGGGCTTACTGGCTAGTGACAGACAGACTCGCCAAAGAGCCCAGGACAGGCTGCAGTTCCAAACGGCAAAGGGCCACTTGCTCGGGGCTCTGAAAGTCGGGAGGGGGCTCTCGGGGCAAGGGCAGGGGGGAAGGAGACATTTCAGGAGGAAGAAGTTGTCCTACAACTCTGTCCCTTCTCTGCCCTCCTGGGACCATACGCCGAACCCAGAATCCCGCAGGAAGCCTTTCCTCCTGATGCCTTCCCAGGGGCTTACTTCAAGAGCCTCTTCTTATCCACCTGCTCCAAAGTTTTAGCTCCCCAGCCCCACCCTTCACAGCCTCCTACTCTCTTGGTTTTCTGCTCAGCCTACAGACTCTAACACCCGTGGGGGCAAGGGTTTTCGACTGTCTCGGTCACTCGCTAGAGCCCGGCACATGGAGGGCACGCAGTCCGTGCTGAGAACTCTTGTTGAATCATGCACAGGAAGCTGTCCATGCATGCATCCCGTGGGGAGGAGTGGGGAGAAATTGCTCTCGCGGCCATTCTCCTACTTCCCCTGCGGACCAAGGGGTTCTGCGCTGAGAAAGAAGGGTTTTGCGGGACAGGTGTTGGGGACCTGACTTCACAGTCGCCCAGCCAGGCCCACACCTAAGGAATCCACACCTGAGCTGCAGCACCTGCCTTTTCCCAAAGCTCCAGATGATTCTGATCACAGGCAGGTGTGCGGCCGCTGCCCTGGCTTGGTCTCCAGGGTGTGCAGGTTCATGGCCGCCCAGCCCGCTCTTTGGTGATGGCTGCTGCCAGGTGGGGGTGCGAGGTGAGCCCACTGAGCCTGACTGTCCTCCCAGAACCCACAAGGGCCCCACCACCAGCTTCCTATTACCCGCCCCTACCCCCAAATGGAGACCAAGCTCCTGGAGGTGGTCACCTCACCTGGCTGCCAGGGAAAACTGTTGTCCAAGTGGGCTCTCTCTTTTCTTAAAAGAATAAGGTGGTTTTTTTTTTAATTTTGGAAAAATGTCTTTTTTAAAAAGATTTATTTATTTAAGTAATCTCTATACACAATGTGGGGTTTGAACTCATGACCCCAAGTCCACCAACTGAGCCAGCCAGATGCCCGTATGTTGGAAAATTGCAAACACACAAGAAGTAGAGAGAACAGCTTAACGAGCCTCCACATAACGTCAACAGTTATCAACATTTCCCATCGTTTTTTCTCTCTCCTCCCTCTTCCATCTTTTTATTTTCCTGGACACCTTTTTTTTTTCTTTAGATTTCACTTATTTGAGAGAGAAGAGAAAGAGAAAGAGATTGAGCACACGAGCAGGGGGAGGGGCAGAGAGAGAGGGAGAAGCAAACTCCCCGATGAACAGGGAGCCCAATGTTGAGGGGCTCGATTCCAGGACCCTGAGATCAAGACCTGAGCCGAGGGCAGATGCTCAACGACTTGAGCCACCCAGGCGCCCCTTTCCTGGACACTTTTAGAGCAAATCTGGTCTTCATACTAATTCACTCATAAATACATTTCCATATGTATCACTAACAAGAGAAAGGCTTTTTTTTTTAAGATTTTATTTCTTTATTTGAGAGAGAGAGAGTGAGCACATAAGCAAGTGGGGGGGGAGAAGCAGGCTCTCTGCTGAGCAGGGAGCCAGACTCGGGGCTTGATCCCAGGACCCTGAGGTCATGACCTGAGCTGAGGCAGCCACTTAACCAACTGAGCCAGCCAGGCGCCCCCAGAGAAAAGCTTTTAAAAGCATGATGATACCACTGTCACATCCATTCCAATTAGTAATAATTTCTTAATATTATCTAATACCGAGACTGTAGTCCATTTTCCACTATTACTTCACACATACCTTTTTACAGTGGGTTTGTTCAGGATCTGTACACATTTCACACACTGCGCTTGGTCAATTTGTCCCCTAAGTCTCTAGTCTTCCACATGGGGCTCTGACACTAGATTCGAGGTTCTCCATGGGAGCAGCCAATTAATGTCCCTGGGAGGTTTTTTGTTTTTTAATTAATTAATTAATTTATTTATTTATTTATTTATTTGAGAGAAGGTGCACACCAGGGGAGGTGCAGAGGGGGATGGAGAGAATCTCAAGCAGGCTCCACACCCAGCACAGAGTCGATGCGGGACTCGATCTCACAACCCTGAGATCATGACCTGAGCCGAAATCAAGAGTGGGACACTTCACCGACTGAGTCACCCAGGCACCCCAGTGTCACCTGGGATTTTTTTTTTTAATTTTATTTATTTATTTGAGAGAGAGAGAATGAGAGATAGAGAGCACGAGAGGGAAGAGGGTCAGAGGGAGAAGCAGACTCCCCACTGAGCGGGGAGCCCGATACGGGACTCGATCCCGGGACTCCAGGATCATGACCTGAGCCGAAGGCAGTCGCTTAACCAACTGAGCCACCCAGGCGCCCTCACCTGGGATTTTTTACAAAACACGCATATACCTGGGCTCTACCTGGACCACGTTAGCTTGGGATCCCTGGGGTGAGCCTGGGCCTGAGTATTTGCATTCATTTACTTGTTAAGCCCCCCCCGCCCCCGCCCCTGCCCCACCCCTCGGTGATCCCGGTAATCCCTGCATGCTGCTAGGGCTGGGAACCACTGGAATACACTCAGGGATTGCACCCCCCAGTGGGCAGGTGGCAGTGTCTTGTCACAGCTTGGAGAAGGGGAGGGGATGCTAGTGGCCTCTAGTGGGTGAAGGCCAGGGATGCTGCTCAGTATCCCACAGTGCCCAGGACGGGCCCCTATGACACCGAATCACCCAGCCCCGGACATCAAGCGCAGACATTGAAAAATTCTGACCCTGAAACACAGCCCCCACTGTTCTCAGGGGACCGAGGACTCCTGGGGGAGGAAGCAAGTTAAACTGGATTCTTTCCATTCCTCATCTCAACCCATACAGTTGGAAAAATCCATCTACCTGGCTGCCTCTCATTAGCAGTCACCCCTCCCGAGACTGGCAGCTCCTCCCTCCTCCCTCGGCTTGGGGCCGCAGAGCCCACTGGTTGGGTGACCTATGACCTCCCTGTGCCACAGGCCCCAGGACGTGGACAGAATAAGTGTCTCCCCCTCGCAGGGCCGTCCTAAGCAGGTGGTGACAGGGGTGTCACATGCCTAGGTGGCGCTGTCAGTGACAGTTATCCTATTCACCGCGGTAACCCCATGCCTGGGGCAGAGTAGGTGCTCAAAAAGCATGTGTAGAAATAATAAATCCCCATTTGTCCTGGTGGAAACTGAGGCCCAGAAACAGGCTGATCTCACAACCAGCACCGAGTATTCGTTCGGCCTGCTGAGGACTTCTCTGCCAGCAGAAAAGACCTCGCTGGTGCTCCACCATGCCAGAACCAGAACCTGGTGGCTGTGCCCACCGTCCCAGGGGCTCCCCCACCCCTCTGTCACCACCATTAAAAGGAGACAATTCAGAGCAGCCCTGCCCACAGCTCACAGCCAGGACACAAGACCCAGAAAGTCCCCTTTCCCTCTGAGGGTGGGGGATGGGGACCCTCGGAAGGAGCATCCTGTCCCTAACCCTGCCCCCTTTTGTCCTTCTTTTGGGGAGGTGGGACATGATACATTTTCTACATTTCACTCCAGACTTGATATAAAAGACTGTAACATTTTAAGGAATGACTCAAAGGGAGAACACACAGCTAGGATGCTGACTCTGTTTCCTGCAACTCAATTCTTTCCTGCTTTCGCCCAGGGAGTGCCACTGTCCTGCTCTCTGACTCAGTTTCCCCTTCCAAGCCTCCAGAATTACATACAGTACAGGGTGTGGAGATCTTGTGGGCATGACGGGCTTCTGACAATGACGTGAAGAACCCACGGTCGGAGGTGCTTTTCTCCCTCCTGGCCAGCTGGGTAGGTGCGGGCAGAGACCTTCCCATCAGGGAGCCTCCTAAGAAACCCATTTGGATAAAAGGTCTCCACACCCACCCGGAGGGGAACTGGAGAGTTACTCCCAGCTGGGGCATCAGCAAAACCTGAAGCTGGGGACACGGGCCAGCAGGCAAGTCTTCACACCCCCCTCTTGCTGCACCCCGGGTTCACCTCCAGAAGTGAAGAGTGAAAGCCTGTGAGGAGAGTGGAAGGGCCAGACCCTAACACCAGGGAGGCTGCCTTTTGATCACGAGGGCCATCTGAAGCCCCGCGGCTTTCCCAAGAGGGGGCGGGAGGGGGGGGCGGGGCCGTGTTGCTTACTGTCCCCAGGAGCCCCCGAGCAGGGCTAGGGAGCTGCGGATGGCGAGATGGTGGGGCCTCCCACTTCTCGCCTCCCCCCTCCGCAGCCGGGCGATGGGGCCCACTCAAGTATGGCTACCTGCTATGGGAGAACCCCGGCGCCCCTTTCCACCCAACCAGGGCTGGGGAGCACCGCCTCAGGGAGCCTGGCAGGCAGCCCCGGGGAGGGGCCCAAACTTCCCCGGGGCCCCACCCTCCACCTCCTCCCCAGGCCGGGCGAGAGGAAACTGAGGCGGGAGGCCGGAGGCGCGGGCGCCGGGCGCGCCCCTGGCACGGTCCCCGGGAGGCGGCGGGCGGGCCTGCTCCGCCCCCGCGCCCGGCCCGGGCAATCCGGCGCCCGCGGGCTGGGCGGGGCCGCAGGCAGCACCGCCCCGAGGGGCCGGGGAGGGGGCGGCGGGAGGCGTGCGCGCGGTGGCGGACCGGAGCGCCGGCCGGGGCGGAGCGGGGGGCCCCCGTGCACTGCCCGGCCCGGGCCATGACCCCCGCTGCTCTCTCTTGCAGGCTCGTCGCCCCGGTCCCCAGAGCCCGGCCACCGCCGCCGCCAGCGCCCGGGCGGGCCCTGTGCGCCCCGGGCGCGGCTCCGCAGTGAGCCCCCCAGGAAGCGGTGAGTGCCCCGCGCCGCGTGCGCCCCGCTGCCTGGCCCGGCGCTGCCCACCCACCCCTTCCAGAGGACGCCCGCGCTCCCCGAGAGCCGCAGGCGACCAAGCGGCGTCCACGCCCCGCCGACTCCGGCGGCGGGAAGGGCGCGGCAGGGGAGGCCAGGGGCTTCCGAGGGGGTGTTGGAGGACCCTCGAGGTCCTGGACGTCCCCCCAACTTCTCGCAGACTTTTCTGCGGAGAGGCGGATTTGGGGAAAGTTGGGTCCGGAGCTCTGGTTGTGCTGCAACTTACCCCGGGCGGGTGGGGGTGTGTCCGCGCATAGACGCCTCTGGCCCCCCACTGTCCACCCGACACCTCGCGCTGTCACGAGTTCCTCGGGAATGGGCCAGACCGCCATTCCTGAGAGCTGGGAAGGAGCCCGGCCGGGGGTGGGGGCAGGAGGCCTCGGGAGGAACCATTTCCCCTCTATCGAGTATTTCAAACTCGATATATTATTTATGAGCCGCCTCACTTAGGGGCCCCCTTGGCTCCCAGGGCATCAAAGCAGGTTTGCAACCGCAAAGGGCGACCAGTGTGAACGCACGCGCGACTTCTCCCGGCCGGCTGAGCTCGGCGGAACTGGGGGAGGCTCTCCAGAACCGGGACCCGCAGCTCCGCTCGCCTGGCCGCGTGGGGGGCGGGGTCAAGGGCGGTCGGACTTGGTCCGGAGGCGCCGGGCTGTTGGGCCGCGGAGGAACCGCGGAGAGAGGCAGTCTCTACTGGCTGAGCAGCTAGTGGGTCACGGAGGAAGGGCAGGTGGAAGGCGCTTCTGAGAGAGTGGAGCCTTCGTGGCACAAGCGCCCCGTCTTACAGATGAGGAAACTGAGGCTCAGAGAAGCAGAGCTGGATGGGCAGGCCCTGGCGTTTCCTGCCCCCCCCCCAGGAATCCCCGCACCTGTCCAGGCCACACCTATCTTGGGTTCTTTGTCCCCACCCTGGGTACCGGTTCCTCCGGATGGATGGATGGATGGGTGGATGGGAGGGAGGGAGGCCGGCGGTGTATTTATGGAAAGACTTAATCCCTCTGCAAGCCCCAAGGAGGCTGAAAGCTTCACCACCTAATCTCCTCTCCCTGGAAGCCCTTCCCTTGCTTGTGGGGTGCAACTCAGTGGGCACTGAGCCGGAGTTTAGGTCACCTCCGAGGACTGGAGCTGGGACCTTCCCCTCAGTGGGTGTGGAAAGGGAGCAGTGCTATTTAATGTGTACCGAGCACTTCCAGTGTTCCAGACCCCGCAGTCCCCATCACCTGCCTGGTTCCTTTCATCCTCTGACCAAGTAGTGGTGTTATCCCCATTTTACAGATGAGGACAGGGAGGCTTGTAAAGGTCATGAGGCGGGTCGGTGGCAAGGCCAGGCCTTGAACCCCTATCCCTGACAGTGAATTGCTCTTGAATATGGCAGGAGCTAGGCCTGGCCTCTGGGACCAGCAAGTGCAACACCTCCCCCCCATTAAAATATTATGAACGTATAATACACACATGGTAACATGTGCACATCAAAAGTGTATACCAGATCCGGAAATAGAACTTCCCCAGGAATGTCCTCCTGCCCCTCCCAGCGGCAGTCTCCCTCGGGAGCCAGCAGTGGGTCCCATGTCTCCCACAGGCTGCCACTTCCGAAAACCTTCAGGTGAGCTGGCAGGTGCTCACTGCTGCGGGCTGGCACTTTGTGGCTCCTATCATCAAGGCTGCCATGAAAAACAATTGCATGTTTTTGGGGGCACCTGGCTGGCTCAGTCAGAAGAGCATACTCTTGATCTCATGGTTGTGAGTTCGAGCCCCACACTGGGTATGGGGCCTACTTTATTTTTTTTTTAAAGATTTTATTTATTTATTTGAGAGAGAGAGAGAGAGAGAGAGAGAAACAGTATGAGAGGGGAGAAGGTCAGAGGAAGAAGCAGGCTCCCCGCCGAGCCGGGAGCCCGATGTGGGACTCGATCCCAGGACTCTGGGATCACGACCTGAGCCGAAGGCAGTCGCTTAATCAACTGAGCCACCCAGGCACCCATGGAGCCTACTTTAAAGAAAAAAAATTTTTTTGAAGATTTTATTTACTTACTTGACAGAGAGAGGGAGAGAGACTGAGAACGAGCAGGGGGAGCGGCAGGCAGAGGGAGAGGGAGAAGCAGGCTTCCCGTTGAGCAGGGAGCCCGATGTGGGGCTGGATCCCAGGACCCTGGGATCCTGACCCGAGCCAAAGGCAGATGCTTAACCAATTGAGCCACCCAGACGCCCCTAATTGGACATTTTTAAATTAACCCTGTGGTTAATTAATCATTAACTTGACTTCTAATAGCATACCCCTTATTTTTAAACAAACAGTTTTACTGACGTATATAACATATGAAAAGCTACACAAACCATAAGCACTGAGCTTGATCACGTAGAGGCTCAGGGCGGGCAGTGGGTGAGTATTTTGCTCAGAGTTACATAGTCAATCACAGGGAGGCCAAGGCTGGACCCCAGGTGGCCCAAGACCCTTCTCCATGACAGAAAAATAGGTGGGGATTTCAGTGGGTGGTTTGCCTCCCCGCCCCCATCCTCTTTCACTTCTTGTTGGTGAGCTGCTGTGGGCCAAGCAGCTGTCCCTGCTCCCCCCTCCCCCCAGGAGAGGAGCTTGCAGCCTCCTGCAGGTCCATGGGCTAAGGCCAGGGAGATGCTCATGTTTGCACTCTGTGTACCAGGATGGGAGGCATGTTAACGCTTGTAGCATCTGTTCCCAGCACAGACCCTTTGGCTGGAATTGCAGGAATTCTAATCCTGTTACAAAAAGCAAGTGCCTTTTCTAAAGAAGGAAGAAAACCAAGATGTTCCCTGTGCCTACTGGGAGCCCAGGGTGGCCAGCCTGTTAGAACCTTCTTCCCTGTATTTGCAGTGAGGAAACAGGCGAGGAGAGCTTGCCCACGTGCCCTGGCTGGGAGTGGCACCTGGTTCCATCCTCACTCGGTGGGTCCACCCACCTAGGCCAACTGTCACATTCCTCAGCTATGATTCTTCACCCCGGCCCTCTCCTTGGGCTTCAAGTGAGGTATTGGTTAAGCACCTGAGGCGCCACACTACGGTGAGTCATGACCTCCAGAGGGTCATTCCGATTCCGTCTAGGAGGTGGCTCTGCAGAGACCAAGATCAGACTTCCAGCTGGACCCGACCTTTCACTCACTTTCCCTCTCTGGGCCTCCGTGTCCTCATCTGGGAAACCCATGTGAGCACCAAGACCACCTCTGTCGAGAGCTGCCAGATTTTGCAAATAAAATACAGGATGCACCTGGCATGCGACTCTTGATCTCAGAGTTGTGAGTTCAAGCCCCACGTTGGGTATAGAGAGTACTTAAAAATAAAATCTTAAAACAAAACAAAACAAAAAAACCCGGACACCCAGTTAAGTTTGAATTGCAGATTCATGATGAAGGATCTGGGGTCTGAGCATGTCCCATGCAGAAACAGGGCACTGTATATTTTATCTGGAGCCTTCTCTGTCCGGCTCCTTCCAGCTCTAGATGCATGTGATTCACTTCAGAAAGACGTCCCCTCACACTCCAGAGCCCAGCCTCTGGTCCACGAAAGTAGTAACTGAAGGGAGTCAGCCCGCACTGGGGCCAGACTTCAAGAAGTAGGGTCCCCCCAGTCCGTCTGTGGCTCTGTGTCTTGGACACTACATCATAGTTACTTTTTACTTTGGGCAGAGAACACGCTGTCTTCCTTTCCTCTGCACTGCAAGCGTGTAGAAGGTGAGTGGGGGAGCTCTCGCCACTGTGGGCTGGCAGTTTCCTCCAGGCTGCTGTAAAAACAGTCACAGACCACTTGGCCAAGTGTGTCCTTCCCCTGGAGATGCTCCTGCTTTTAGAGCATGCCGCGTGGTGTGCAAAGCAGCTGATAGCCATCTCTCCCCATGGCTCAGAGCGGAGGCAGACCCTGCAGGAGTGATAGAAGTGTCTATCATTGCCGTCCCGGCCACGAGAGAGGACCCTGTGGTGGCCATTTGGCGGTAGAGCCATTTCTATGCCCAGGTACAAGAAAGAACCTGTTCTACTTCAAGCTGTTGTGCAAATAATTAACAATCTGATATTTCAAAGGAAACATAAACAGCCCGACGCAATAGGAAAGGGAGGTTTTCCACACTGCTGCCACAGTGTGAAAGAGGGGACATTTATACCTAAACTAGCGGTTCTCCTGGGCCTGACCACACGTGTGCCATCTTGCTGAGCGAAGGGGGACCCCTCCCACGAGATCTTTGCTTCCCTCCCATTAAATCTCTTTTCCCACATCGCAGAAACCTGTATCTTTGTAACGAACACAGCGCAGAGCCGCGGTGTATAGGATGATGGGGCCCTGAAACCGAGTGCCCCCGGGTTGGGCTTCCTAGCCCCGGGACCCCTCGGAGCTCCATCCCCTGCCCTCCCCGTCTGTAAAATGGGGTGGCGGTAATGTTTCTCTCTTAGGGCATTGTTAGGGTTGAGTGGAGTAATTTTTATAATAATCTCAGCCCAGGACTTGGCCTCTTAAAAGCATTAGCCAGGTATCTGTCCGCTCTCGTTACTGTGATGCTGCCCACGAAGGGGTTTGAAGTAGAAGTGGCCCCACTCGCCCCAGTCAGGCCTCCCTTCCCCCAGTTGTAGAATCAGGCTTCAACTCCTCCCATTCACGGGGCTGTCTCCGCAGTCTCTGCCAGTCTCTGCCAGGCCTGGCCCTCAGCCAGCAGCACCATCACAGAGGGAGTGCATCACCCGTGGGAGCGCCTCCTCCCGACACGGCCGCCCAAACCAGGGTCCGCTACGTGGGACACCCCTAACGCAGCGCCTGCACAGGAGTGCCGGGGGCAGGGTGCCAGTTTGACACAGAGCCCGGGCAGCCAAACTTCAGCACCTCCGGCTCAGAGAGGGAAATGACTTGCCTGAGGTCACACAGCTCTTGGACCCTGGTTCTTCCTCGTTCCTCCAGGCCGTTCCCCCCTGCCCCTGCTGCCTACCTTCTGTCCTGTGGGGAGGTAGAGGCAGGGTGGCCAGAGTTAGGGCCCGTGCACTGGGACAAGACACGTCGGTTTGTGAAAATTCTCCATTTGGGAATTTTAGACATCGGACACAGAAACACTGCACACTGATATGACCCCTTGATGTGACCTGGCCGGACCCTGATGCAGCTTCTGGCCCCTATGTCCCCCGAGTCCAGGCTGGGGCCGCTCCTGCTTCCTCCTCTTGCTTCCTTGAGCTGCCTTCTTTTTTCTCCCTCCCAACCCCCTTCCCCCCTTCCCCCCTTCCCCCTCCTGTCTCTCCCTCTCCCCTTCCCTCCTGAATGTTTTGAAATGGGTATTTTTCAAGTCACAAGACAGCTTTAGAGACAACACCTATCAATTCAGGACAAGTCTTGGGGAGGTGGTGCTTCTGGCACAGAACACAGCCTTCCCCAGACCAGAGCCGCGGTCCCCTGAACGCACCTCCAACTGCATCAGAGAAGTCTCTAGGAAAACACCGTCTGATGCACAAAACTGCGGTCTGGGCCACCACTGGGGAGACGGTGGCGTCGGGCACAGAGGCCGTGGGGCCCCTGTTGCTGTTGTGTCTCTGCTTTTCTTTCCCTGGTTGACTTCTCTTGAAATAGTTTCAAGCCTCCAGAAAAGTTGCAGGAACACAAAGTGCTCCTCCAGGTCCTTTCCCAGAGATGAACACTTAGCCACGTTTGCCTCGGGGTCTCTCTTTGTACGTACACACGCGTGTGCTGATCTCCTAGCTGAACCACCGAGTTACGCTGCAGGCACGGTGTGGCCCCGAGCCCAGACACCTGGAGCCGCACTGCCTCTTGCAGACTTGGTCCAATGATCGACATCAGAAACCTGAACATCGGCCGCATCCTGTCACCTCATAGACAGATGTCTCTCTTTTGACTTTTATTTGTATTTTATTTATTTTTAAAGATTTATTTATTTGACAGAGAGAGACACAGCGAGAGAAGGAACACAAGCAGGGGGAGTAGGAGAGGGAGAAGCAGGCTCTCCGTGGAGCAGGGAGCCCGATGCGGGGCTCGATCCCAGGACCCCGGGACCACGACCTGAGCCAAAGGCAGATGCTTAACAACTGAGGCACCCAGGCGCCCCTTGACTATTTTAGTATTAGTTGTTTTTTTAAAGATTTTATTTATTTTTTTGAGAGGGAGAGGGAGAAGCAGACTCCCCGCTGAGCAGGGAGCCCGACTCGGGGCTCAAGGGCTCCATCCCAGGACCCTGGGATCATGACCTGAGCCGAAGGCAGACACTTCACCGACTGAGCCACCCGGGTGCCCTGGCATTTTTCAGACAAACACAAAAATACGTCATGAACTCCCACCTTTCAGCTTCGGCGCCCCTGCCCCTACTGCATCGTCCCCCTGCGCCAACAGCACGGGAGGTGGCTTTTCTGGAGCATTTTACAGCAAAGTCCTACCCTCACTTCCTCTGGGAGGCCTTCCCCATAAATCACTGTCTAAACCCTGGGACGGGTCGCCCGTAAGCGCACAGTGAAGTTGGGGTGCACTGTGCACGGTGTGTCTACTAGGCTGTGATGTGTGAGCTGCTCACAGTGGCCAGTGGGGGTCCTGGGTGTGTTCATGAGCCCGACCTCAGGGCTGCAGACCCCTGGGCCGGAGACCCAGCCTAAGGAGGGTTGGGAGAGACAGAGGTAAGGTCTATGCCACCCCCTGCTTAGCCCCCACCCCCAACCCCGGGAAGCCCTGTAGTTGAAAATGTTGTGGCTGTAGGGTCCAAAGTGCTGGGTTTGAACGCTGAACCCACCTCCTGCTACCCATACAACCTTGTGGAAATTAACTAACCTCCCTGTGCCTCTGTTTCCCCCTCTGTGGGATGGGGATGGGGATGGTCCCAATGTTTCGGGGCTGTCGTGAGCATTAACTGACCAGGAATCTCGGTCCAGGGGCTCTGACAGGCACACAGTGAACACTCAAGAGATAACAGGTGTTACTCCCACAGGACTGGCCTTGGGCTCTCTCTTCCCTTGCTCTCCCCCTGAAGAAGGATACCCTCTCCTAGGCATCGCATCCTGCACATTATTAGAATCCCCTGGGGAGCTTTTAAAAAATCTCAGGACCAGGCCCACACCCCAGGCCAATTACCCCAGAATCTCTGGGGTGGGACCCAGGCACCTGTATGTTAAGTGCCCAGGCGAATTACCTGTGTTGTAGGAGATAGTACTCAGGGCCTCTGCAGCGGGAATGAGCATCCCCTGGGTCTTGTTGAGATGCAGCTCCTGAGCCTGCAGGCGGCGTGGGGCCTGAGAGCACGCATCTCTCACAAGCTCCTGGTGTTCCTGTGCTGCTGGTCCAAGACCACACTCCGGATAGCATGACCGTGGAGAAAGGCCCCCGCTGGAAACCACTACCTGTCTTCCCTCTGTGGCTGTTATAAATAATAGCACTGGACACTTCCCGGGTTTGAGCTCTGTGCCCTCCTGATAATTCAGTCTTCCATGCTGCTCAGTGATCCCGCCAAGAGCATCACCCCCATTTTAAAGATGAGGAAAGTGAAGTCTTGGTTGAGGAACCGCCCCCTGTGGTCACCTGGCTGAGCCAGGCTCTGGTCCAGCCAGGAGGGCACACAGCTCCAGGACCTGACGGCAAGTTAAAAGATAACTCCACCACTGTCTATCTCTCCTGGCCTCTCTCTCTCCCTCCCACTCGCTCGTGCTCTCCGCTTCGTCTCCAAGCCCCCCAGTCTGTCTCCAGGCCCCCTCCTTCCTACCTGTCCCACAAACCCAATCTGGATAAAACCGAAGCCCTCAACCTGGGTTTCTCCAAGCCAGCCCCTCCTGGTTCCACCATCTCCTAAGCCTGCATGTCTCCCAGACTGCCAGCTGCTCCTCCACACCCTCATTGTCCCCCCGCGCACCGCTCCCGCCCCCGAAACCCCCATCTTCCATCCTAAGGCTCCACAGTTTCTGACCCAGAGCGAGCTTCGACCTTAACAGGCACATGGCTCCCGGGGGGCCTTGTTAAAATACCGATTCTGGCTCAGTGCATCTGGGTGCGCCTGAGATGCTGCATTGCTAACAAGCTTCCAGGGGGGCCAAGGCTGCAGGTCCACCGGCACAGCCTGGGTAGTGAGCGCCTGGGGGACCCCAGCATTTCCTAGCCATAGATGCCGGCCTCTGGGCAGGACGGGATGACGGGTTTCAGAGCACAACGCGGGGTCTCGGTCACACACTCGCGTTGGAGATCCGAGGGGCCCCTCTCGTGGCCACCCTCCATGCCTCTCCCTGCCCCCAACCTGGCACACAGGCAGCTCCCTGTGAATGGAGGGATGAGCCTCCCCTTCCCCAGAAGGGCCTGCAGAGCCTCACAGGCCCCAGACCGAGGTTGGGGCAGCCCCAGGCTGGAACCCCAGCTCCCTGAGCCTTGATTTCCACGTCTGTGAGTGGGGACGGTAGTAGCACATCCCGGGACTGTCGCTGAGGACTGTCACGAGCACACAGGTGCTGAGCACTGTCAGCTGCTGCCTGTTTTATTCCATCACTCAGAACACTAAGGACGCATCCCATTGCTGGCCAACGAGGGGAACACTGGCTGGGATAATTTTAACTCCCTCGGACTGAGGCTAAGTGCCCTTAATCTGTTAGATCTCCAAAGAACGTGCATCTTAAATGAGGGGCGGGGCCCTAACAGAAGCAGAGCCCTTCATGGTGGCCTCAGGACCGCCCGCCCCGCAGCCTGGCCTAGGATCCTCACATCCTCCTGCTCCTGCTTCTTGAAGCCAGCCACCTCTGCAGACCCTAAAAGAAAAGGCCAGGTCAGACCCCGACCCCACGCTCACCTCCACTGCACCCCACACTCAGATCCCCAGTATATTCGGCTCTGAGGCGCCTGAAAGTTTTTTCCACCGCACAGACTCATCTTTGAGCAAACTCTGGCCCAGATGTAGTCGGCGCTCACCCTGACCTCGCCAGTCTGGCGGTTTCTCTCCCCACTACTTCCTGTTGTGAGCCCGTGCGGCGGGGGCGGGGCGGGGGCTGGCCGCACGTGGCCAATACCAACGAGCCCCTTCTCTCTCCGCAGGCCCGCGGAGCGCCGCCATGGGGCTTCAGCTGTCCTGCCTGAAAGGTAAGGGGGGCAGCTCCCCCACCAGTTCCCCTGGGGCTAGGGGAGTGGGGGGAGGCGAAGGAATGAGGCCGGAGAGAGTGGGAGGGTACACTCTGGCGAGGGAGGGGGGGCCACCCCTGAAGGCAGCACCTGTACACAGCAGGTGCCTTATAAAGGCTTGCTCTGACTGAGCGCCCCTGCAGGCCTTCCCTGTCACTGACAGGTGAGTGATGTGGGAAAGTCTCAGTGCCCCTGGGCCATGGCTTGTCCCTCAGGGCCGTTAACCCCAACCGTGGAGAGTAAGGGAGGAAGAGCCCCCGACAGGCACACCCCGGGCTGTTTGCTCTCCACCCCGCGGGCCTGTTATCACTGACATAGGAGGTCCGGCCCACTGGGTGCTGGGAAGGCCAACAGGGAGAAGGTCCTAGAAGGACACAAAATCGCTGTGGAATGTGGTAGGTGTTGGCAGAGGCAGCCCAGACTCCTGTCCTGTGCCCTAGACTTTTCTGTCCGGCGTCTGGAGGGCCCAGGGGCACCTCAGACCAAAGTGGCCCACACTCTCCCCTTGAAGCGCGTTCTTCGGCGACAAATGCTCCCCAGCCGGAAATCTGGGAGTTGTTCTGATGGCCCCTCGCCCACGTGTGGCATGCCCAGCCGCCCTGACTCACCTCCTGGATGTTTCCGAGGTGCCCCTGACCCCATCCCTTCGCCGCAGGAGGTCAGGCACGCGGGAAGGTCCAGGCCAGAGTGCAGGACCTCCTTCGGTCCCGCTGCTGCGATGGGTGAGCTCTGGAGAGCTTCTGGTTGGCCCCGCTTAGGGCTTATGCTCCGCCCCCTTGGCCAGGGGGTGGGGCCTCTTGATGGACAGTTCCTTCAAGACAACGCCCAAGTGCGGGGCAGTGGGTCCCCTGGAGAAAACCAGAGTGTCGTTGGCAGGGTGGGGATGCTATGCTGGAGAGCGGGGCACAAGCCACGCCCCTCCAGGGCCTGGCCCCTCTGAGGCCGCAGGCTGAGCCCACGCTGGAGTGGGGGGCATTTGCGGGCCGAGCATCTGTGGGGGTGGCCGGCCAGGGGTTGCATCCAGTCAGAGCCCCCGGAGCTCAAGGACCCTCCTCCCTTAGACTTCGCGGCAGGTGTCCCCAGGGCCGGGCACAGAGTGGGCATTCAGGACAAGATTTTGGTTTTGGTTTTTAATCGTGGTAAGATATATGTAACATGAAATTTGCTGTCTTAACCGTTCTTAAGTGTACAGTGCCTGAGCATTAAGTACATTCGTGTTGTTGCGCCAGGTGTCCCCATCACCCACCTCCAGACCTTCTCCACTGTCGCCCGCACACACCAACGCCCCAGCCCCTCCCCCCAGCCCCACCTCCCACCGTCCTACCTTCTGTCTGTGAATTTGCCTATTCTAAGGGCCTCCTATGCGTGTAGTGATACACTATCTACCCTTTCCTTATTTCACTCAGCAGAATGTCCTCAAGGTGTCAGAATAGCCTTCCTTTTTAAGGCTGACTTATATACCCCGTGTATAGACCACGTTTGGTTTATCCAATTCGTTCCTCTGTGGACGCGGGGCTGCCTCCCCTTTTGGCTGCTGGGCCAGGACGTCTTTGATGAGTCAACCAAGGCCCCGGAGGGACCCCTGGGGCTGCTTCCTTTCCAGCCCAAGGCGGGAACCACCCAGGGGAGGAGACCCAGACACTTCGGACCCTGAGAGCCCCTGGGGAACATCCCATGCCCCCCCCAATTTCCCTCCTTACAGGACTGAGAGCCCAGGAGCAGGCTGAATGCTCCTGGTGCGGTGGGGGGGGGGGGGGGGGCTTTTAAAAGGGCCACCTTCCAGCCAGACCTGGAGGAGCGAAGGGCTGGAATGTTGCTGGAGCAGCGAGGTTTGCTCACATATTTTTCACTGCAGCTCGTTGGGGCCTGCCACCGGCCCTGGGCTGCCAGCCCTCTACCCACACCAGCCTCACCCAGCCCTGATGTCGGGAAGTGGCAGGTCTCAGGTGTGACAGGCAGGGGGAGGGGGTGAGGGGGCGGGAAGCTGAGCACCAGACCCTCTCTCTGTGCATCACCAAGACGACCCAGGCCCACCGGCCCAGAGTCACCGACCCTCCTCCTCCCATAGGGGATGGGCCACAGCCCAGCAACTGCAAAGGGCCAGGTGCCCCTCGGCCCCTTCCCTGTACACCATTGTCCACATGACCTTCTCAGCCCTCGCCGCCTGGGCCCTTGCGCCCACAAGCGTGGTGTTACCCCACTGTGGGGCTGTGACATGTCTGTGTGTCCTGTCTGGCTGCCACTGGTATGTGTCTTTCCACACTCTCTAACACCTGTGTCACATCCTGCCAAGAGTTGGTCTTTGGGTGGTTTCCAATTCGTTGCTTTTGTAGATCGTGCCATTTTGAACATCTTTGATTTCTGATTTTTAAAACTATTATTTCTTTGGGGTGAATTCCAGAAATCAGAATGACCCAGTCAAGCAATTAGAATACATGGTGAATTCTTACTGGGGGCTCAGCCTGGACAGGGCCCTGTTCTGTGCATATTCTGTGTGGATCCGCTCCCCTGTCTCCACGACAACCAAGTGAGTCCTCCCGGGATCCCCAGTTTCCAGATGAGGAAGCTAAGGCACAGAGAGGCAGTGCCGTTGGCCCGAGGCCACACAGCTGAGACCCGGTGGGATCTGAACCCCAGGCGGGCTGGGTCCAGAGGCCTTGTTTCAACCACCACTGGTATGGCCTCCTCAGGAGGAAACATTTTAAGTTGACATTTGAAGCAGTCGCTGTAGCCAGAAACGTTATCAACACGTTCTCATCTTCACAGTCAGTAAGATGGTGTCAGAGTTTCGTGGAGCTGCCGAAATGTATTACCCCAAACTGAGGGGCTTCAAGCAACAGAAACGCATTCTCCCACAGTCTGGAGGTTAGGAGTCCTAAATCTAGGTGCCAGCAGGGTCGCCACGCTGTCTCCGAAGGCTCCAGGGGAGGGTCCTCCCTGTCTCTCCCCACCCCTGGGGGCTCCAGGCGCTCCTGGGCGTGTGGCCCGTCCTCCTGGGTCGGCCTCCGTCCTCACACGGCCTCCTGCTTGTGTCTCTCTGTGCCCTTTCTCTTAGAAAGACACAGGTCTTCGGACTTAGAGCCAGCCTTAAATCCAGGATGATCTCATCCCAAGATTCTTAACGAATCACATCTGCAAAGACCTTATTTCCAAATAAGGTCACGTTCTGAGGTTCTGTGTGGACGTGGATTTGAGGGGACACTTCACCCCACCATGAGTCACTTCATGCCCGAGCCCCGCACGTGCGGGGCAGGAAGGTGCTTCTCCGGTCCGACGGCAAAGACTCAGCCCGAGGTGGGGACCTGTGGAGGGTGTGGCACGGGAGAGAGGAACACAGCTGCGCCGAAATCCTTCTGTTTCCGGTCCCAAAGGAGAGTGGGTGCAGCGGAGCACTGGGTGTGGGGTCCTGCTGCCCAAGGGCCTGACCACGGCAGCTGTGACATGTGGGAGTGCTCTGCTGTCCAAAGAGCACCTCCCCTGTGCCCTCTGGCAGAAGGGCTGGCTTTGGCTCGGGCGTCACTGAGCCAGGCACTGCTCCCAGAATGGGGTCCCTCGATTTGCCTATTTCCTGCTCACTACAGCTGGACAGTGTAGGTGACTCCACAGTGGGAACACTGAGGCACGGGGCCACTCTCACCAGCCCGCGTCCCATGGCCGGTTGGAGGGGCTTGGCTCAGTAGGCAGGGGAGGGGTGAGTGGGTTCCTGGTTTGTGGGTTTGTGAGTTAGCAGCCTGGTGGGGCCCCAGACCTGAGGCCTCAGCATCACCTGGGAACTGGTCAGACTCATGGGCCCCTCCTAGACCTACTGAGTCAGAAACTCTGGGGGGTTTTAACAAACCCTCTGGGGGATTCCAGTGCCTGCTCAAGTTTCAGAACAACTGGTGACCTGGCTCTGGGGTCAGAAAGATCTGAGTTCAGATCCCAGGTGTGTCCCTGACTAACTGCAACCTCATACAAATCTTTTCACATAACAAAGCCTCAGCTACGCCATCTGTAAAATGGAGTGATGAGTGGGGACATTTCCTGGGCCAGGTTCCGAGACGTATCTGAGATAGACTGGCTGAAGATGGTGCCCAGTGGACAGGGTTTCCTGTCTGCCCCGGCCCTCTGTACCTTCCCACTCTGGTGGCAGCTGCAGGTGCAAGGGAAGTCAGTCTGGAGGTGTGGGCTTTCCTGTGGGGGCCACCTCAGGGGCCGCTGTGGTCGCTGGGGTTCCCCAGAGGGTGCCAGCGCCAGCCCCGGCCAATGACAGTGTCGCCAAGGAGACAGGCTCCTGGGCTGGGCTAGTCCCAGCGGACTGTCCTTCTGGGGCCGCCTGGGACCAGGTGGGAAGGGCACCGGGAGATGGAGACTCTGTCCGGGCTTGGTGGCTTGTTCATGTGTTTTAATGACTATTTTTTAGAACCGTTTTAGATTTACAGAAAGTAGTTTCAAATTTACAGTTTTCCCTCTAGTTAAGGCTTTTGCATCGGCTCGGTCCCTTCATCACGGCCCCTGAATTGGTCCAGATACGTTATTACCAGGAAGGCCCGTGCTTTGTTCAGCTTTCCTGTTCTCCCCTCAGGCCCCTTTGCTGTCCCAGGAGCCCACCTTACAATTACTTGTCACATCTCCTCAGGCTCCTCTGACCATGACAGTTTCTCAGAAGCTCCTCTTTGTGACCTTGACCGTCTTGAGGAAGACGGCCATCTGTTTGGGAGGACAGCCCACTGTCAGGATCTGGCCAGTGCTAGTGGGGTCTTTAGTCTCTTGTGCCAAGCAGGTGACAATGGTGATGGTGGGGAACTGGGGACACAGGTCTGCCCTCCGCGGCGCCCCTGACTGTCCAGGCATTTCTCCCACTTCCCTTGCAGGGAGGCTCAGGGCCTCTCCTCCACTTGGCCTGTGACCAGGCATGGGTGGTCGGGGCCTGGTGGTCATGATGCCCGTTTTTGCCTGGTAGCAGGAGGCCTGAGACCAGC